ACACCAATTTATTCTGATATTACAATACTGAGTATCATGGTAACAATTAAGTTCATAAGTTACGTTCGATGGTTTTCCAGGCACTTATAAGAAAAAATAAATTAATAAACTACAGAAATGTGAATACAAGCGTAACATAATATAAAAATTAAAAAAACAAAGGTGACGTTGGAATAAAAATTAATTTTTAATTAAATTTGCTACTCATTGTCAGCATAAAGTAAACGAAAATAAGATTTTTATTATGATCTGTCTCTATATGTTCCAATTTTTAGTTTAGTATTAGCAGGTTGGGGAGGGGGAACTGGTTGAACGGGGGTGAAAAGAGCGAGAGACAACAAAACAGAGGTGTAGAAATTTTTCATTTTTAAGAAATAAAAAAAATCAAAATGCTCATTATGTAGGTATTAATTATACAAATTTTTATGAAGTAAATCGAACCCCAATCGGGGGACTTACCATGAGGTGTAGTCAGTCCAATAACATCGGAAGACGTTCCAAAACTGTCAGTGTTAGCATTCTTTATCGCTACCGAAAATGTATACTGTAAGTTAGATAAGAGACTTATTATTTCGAGACAGTAAAACTCTTCCCAGAGTACGCATTTCGTAATATTTTTGATGAGTGTAGTGCAGTTATCGCGAACGATGGGATTGCAGTACTTAACTTTTACGTATTGGGGAATCCCAAACGGTTTCGCGGGCATTTTGTACCGAATACAGGCATACGTTGTGTCTATTTCGTAGACTTCGAGATCAATTACTGCTGGCGAAACTGAAATATTCTAATCGGTCGTAAAGTGGATTATTAACTGATTCTTCTAGATCATCAAATGGCATTTGTTCGTAGATATTTTCATCATAAACTCTATTTCTATTTCTACAATTAATAAAACGTTTTCTTCTATATCGCCTGCAAAGAAAAACCAATTTTTAAAGGAAATATAAACAAAAACTATTTGTTTTAACTAACCGATACCATATAATACCGCAAACGGAAAGTGAAATAAAAATAAATAAAATTCCTAGTATAAGCGATACACTAGCAAAAGGTTGCTCTTGAATGGGTAACTCTTCGGATGTACTATTCTCCGGAGCACTACTCGTTGTTACGTTCTTAAAAGAAAATATTTCGCATTCAGATTTATTGTAGAAATTATGCTGAGTAACAATAACGACGCAGTAAGTAGTGTTTGGTTTCAATTTAACCACGTCATTAGCCCCACTTGTATTGCTCTTTTCAAAAGGAACAAAAGATTCTATTGAAATTGTTGTACTGTTATCATCATCGACATTCTCCTACAAAAAAAGAAAAAATTATACGTGAAAACTGAAATTCGTATTCTGTCACACGCCAGAAAAGCTCTAAACAGCCACAAATACGCAGATAGTAAATCGTCACCTGTGGAGATGTGCCCCGAATAGTGGGTTATTTAATGTTTAACAAGGAAGGCCTATGAAAAAGATTGAACTCGAAAACTGTAGACACCATAAGATTCTACGTGCTTTATTACATAATAATCATAACTTAAAGCTTATTAAATGCCTTCCATCTTCTAATAATCTTACGAGCGCTTTTTTATGTTTACCTGATTGGACATATTTTCGCAGAAATAATGCCGGAAAATGGTAATTTGACATCGCACTCGAAAACTGTTGACACCATGGGATTCTACGTACTTTTTTACATAGTAATCATAACTTAATGATTAATAAATGCCTTCCATCTTTCAATAATCTTACGAGCGCTTTTTTATGTTTACCTGATTGTATATATTTTCGCAGAAATAAAGCCGGAAAATAGCAATTTGACATCGCACTCGAAAACTGTATACACAATGAGATTCTGCGTACTTTTTTACATAATAATCATAACTTAAAGCTTATTAAATGCCTTTCATCTTCCAATAATCTTACGAGCGCTTTTTTATGTTTAAATGGTTTCATATATTTTCGCAGAAATAATGTCACAAAATAGTAAATTAACATCGCAGTCAAAAACTGTAGATACCATACGGTTCTGCTTACCCTTTTACATAATTATCATAACTTAAAACTTAATAAATATCTTCCATCTTTCAATAATGTTACGAGCGCTTTTTCCCTATGATGTAGCGGCATGAGTTTTTCTTCTCAAAATCATAATGAATATAGGAGAAAGCGAAAGGAAACAATATATTTAACCAAACAATACATATAATAAAGACTTACCTTGTAATCATTTGCTAACCACACTGCCCCATAACTATTGCATTTTTCAGCAGAACACGGACTCGTGGAAATTTCTTTCGCGGTATTGACGACAGTCCTGTCGTAGTCCTGAACCACAACAAACGTTTTTGTTTTCACTGTTTGATCCTTTGGTGGAAGCGTTGCTATCAACGAAAATTCCGTTGCATCGACAGAGGGTGTAAAATCTACATAGTGCACATGACGTGGACTGACGCTTATTGCTTCAAAATCACCCTCGTTATAGTAATTATTGATTCCCTCTACTTTCAAAGTATGCTCCGAACCGTAGGGGATGTACTTTACCTGCATTAAACAAAAATATAATAAACCGAAAGTTAAAATTTCTTGTATTAAGTACTTACAATATGGGAGTATTGTTTGTGGTACGACCGATTTGGAATTTTGTAAATTTCTTCGATAAAGTCTTCGACGTTGAAGTTTTTATTGTGCAAGGATACACGAAAAGCAGTTATGAGTCCTTTAGGATTATATGGATGACACCAATTTATTCTGATATTACAATACTGAGTATCATGGTAACAATTAAGTTCATAAGTTACGTTCGATGGTTTTCCAGGCACTTATAAGAAAAAATAAATTAATAAACTACAGAAATGTGAATACAAGCGTAACATAATATAAAAATTAAAAAAACAAAGGTGACGTTGGAATAAAAATTAATTTTTAATTAAATTTGCTACTCATTGTCAGCATAAAGTAAACGAAAATAAGATTTTTATTATGATCTGTCTCTATATGTTCCAATTTTTAGTTTAGTATTAGCAGGTTGGGGAGGGGGAACTGGTTGAACGGGGGTGAAAAGAGCGAGAGACAACAAAACAGAGGTGTAGAAATTTTTCATTTTTAAGAAATAAAAAAAATCAAAATGCTCATTATGTAGGTATTAATTATACAAATTTTTATGAAGTAAATCGAACCCCAATCGGGGGACTTACCATGAGGTGTAGTCAGTCCAATAACATCGGAAGACGTTCCAAAACTGTCAGTGTTAGCATTCTTTATCGCTACCGAAAATGTATACTGTAAGTTAGATAAGAGATTTATTATTTCGAGACAGTAAAACTCTTCCCAGAGTACGCATTTCGTAATATTTTTGATGAGTGTAGTGCAGTTATCGCGAACGATGGGATTGCAGTACTTAACTTTTACGTATTGGGGAATCCCAAACGGTTTCGCGGGCATTTTGTACCGAATACAGGCATACGTTGTGTCTATTTCGTAGACTTCGAGATCAATTACTGCTGGCGAAACTGAAATATTGTCAACTATTAAAACTTCTATTGATTCAAAGGCACAAAAGAAATAGATCATTACCTCCCGGTGAAGTTGAAAACTTGTACGTATTGATGTGAACCGTATCGATGTTGTTTAAATCTTGTAGTGATCTTGCGGTGAATATTTCAAAAATATAAGGCGTGAAAGGCTCTAAATTATTAATGGCAAAGTTAGGACTATCGTCTTTATTCACTTCAAGACTACGTAACACCTCACTGTCGTTCTTGATGTGTATTTTGTAAACTATGGGGCCGTAAGATTCTAGGCATGAGGGTCTTTTCCAATTTATTTTTATTAAGGTGTCGGTAGGTTGAATGATAACATTCTCTGGGATTTCCCCGCGAGTAGGAAGAACTTAAAAATAATAAAGTGGTACGTAAGTCTTTTGGCTGCTCAATGTCCTTTATTTAAATNAGGAAGTCAAAACTGCCCCGTCAGGTAAGAATTATATATATATATATATATATATATAATTCTTACCTGACGGGGCAGTTTTGACTTCCTTAATTATTTGTTTATTAGAAATGATATCTGTTAGGCATATGTTATATGTGGTATAGGGAACTAAATTCTTAATTTGTACATCATCATCTCTGGTTACCAAAAAACCAGATGATCTGTTGCGGTTTACTGTGTCATCAGGTATTTCAGTATCATTACATATATTTTTGGCCTAAAACTTTTTTATCTTAATTTGCAATCCTAACTAAAATTGTAAATGCAAATGTGAGTGTTTGTTTGTTACGTTTTCACGCCTTAACTAGTCAGCCGATCATCATGAAATTTTGTACACGCATTGTCAGGGGTACAGAAAAGGATATAGGGTATCTTTTATCCAGAAACAAAAAGCTATTCCCGAGGGATAGAAAAAAAAAGTTTTAACTACTAACTACTCAATTGATCATCATAAAATTTTATACACACATTGTCAGGGGTACAGAAAAGGACATAGAGTACCTCTTCTCCAGAAGAAAAACTGTTGTTCCCGAGGGATAGAAAAAATTAATTTTATGTGGTCGTGTTGTAGTTCTAATTATTCATAAATTATTCCAGAACTAATAAAAAAATGTAGTTCTTAAATGCACCTTTTAATTAAATTAGTATTAGATCCATGTTGGATCAATTACCAATTTGCTTTACCTAATCAGAAGCTTCAACTTTCGCGTATTATTATAATGAGATAATTACAACTTATTTACCAGTATCATGACTTCTTGGTGAAAAAGATTAACTAATTAGAAAAATAACAACATCAGGAAAGTTTACAAACTGTTGTTATTTTAAATAAAACAATTCGAAACATACGTAATCCTAAAATGTAGCAGCGTGCTACAGATGGCGTTTACTGCGCCATTTGTAGTATTTTCTAAAACGCGGTGTTGTTATTTTTCTAAAATATTTTACCTGATACTCGACCGATACATATGGTTGATAGGGAAGCTGTTTTTGTGACGTCGAATATTCCCACTGTACGACAATCTCGTTGGAATCTGCCGATATTTTCTTAATACGAATATCTAAAAATCGCCATCGATTCCAGAATAATTAATTTAATAAAAAATGTGCCTGTTTATAACATTAGCATATAATAAAAGATATTACCAAAAGGAACAGCTTTGTACATGGTTGGACGCCAAGTGGGATGTCGAAGAAATTGACAGGCTAAATCATACTCTGGTCTTAATTTGTTTTTAGTGGTATTGTAAACGAAAATACTACTTCGTATCTCTAGAAATACAAGCGAAAAAAGTTGATTAATCATTACAATCGATTGAATTTAACAAAACTTTTACTTACCTTTACTATTACACACTCTTACATTCGATACTGCCCAAAAGGGCTTCTCTGCGTTTCCTGTTATTTCAGTTTTAACGTGCAATTTTACCGAAGAACTGACTAAATCGTTTTTCTTAAGTTCAACCTGTTTCCATTTCTCTCCTTTTTCCTAAATGTAAAAAAAAAACAAAAGCGTGACGTCTTTTAATTTTTGCCTAAGACTACCAAATGTTTCGTACATTTTGATCATCGTTTTTCACAGTTAGCAGAACGACTTCTTGCTTTGCTTCTGTTACCAATGAAAACGTAAAACTACAGTTTTTGCACATTGACAAAAACATCGAAATGCACAAATTTTTAGAGTTTAAGTTTAATGTTGGTCCCAATTTCGTCATCCCTGGCGTGGTAGTGTAAATATATCTTACTGGAAAACAAAAGAAGTAGGTGGGTATAAAATTATAATCAATGATTCAGAAAATATAAACTTTTATGAATCTTCCAAAGAGCAGGACTCCGGCTTCTTAAAAGCAAATAAATGGGTTTTAACTTATTAGGATCACTGTATCTTAACAACGATTTTTCAAGCACTAAATCGATAATTTCAAAAGTTCCATTTTTATTGAAGGCTATCTTGTATGACTTCCACTCGTATGCAGATATTACAATTTCTCCCTGACAAAAAAAACAACTATTGGTAATTAAATTTTCACTATATACAGGTAAAGTTATAAAATATTTACTTCAAAGTTTCCCAGATTTTCATTACTATTTAAAATTTCTTTCGATAACCCCTTGATTTTTTTTAAAGTTATTGTTTTCCCATCATCTCCGCCGATGTTCAGGTAATAGCACGGATAACTGTACGGATTCCATCCTTCACAGAAGAAAATTTCTCCATAATGAGAAGAACGTAAAGATATTCCTAAATTAAATTCTTGAGGAATTTCAATCCTTTCGTGGAATTCTTTGGTTGTGTTTGATGTATATATTGTCGAAAAAGCTGAAAACAATCGTTTGTATGTACGCATAAAGTAAAAGTAAAGTAAAATCGTTCCCTACCATCAGCTCTGGAGTCTAAAACAGAATGAAAACTTTCATTGTTCTCGGAAAAATTCCACCCCGACATTTTCCATTGTTTTAAACATTTGTTTGCAACAGAAAAATCGCAAGAATACTCGTTTTCAATATTAGGAACATATTTAGTTTCTAAAATAAAATAGATGTTAGCATAAATTCCCGATGTTTTACCTAATCAAGACGCTTTTAGTAATGAATTGTACTTAATAAACAATCTTTGAAAGAAAAAGTTTAATTGTAATTTATAATTGAGCTTCCCATTTTTCTATTAACCGAAATTGTATTGGAAGGTAAATAGTAAATCGTTTATTATTACAATAAAAATATTATTAGGTTCTTGTACTAAACATTTATCATAGAATTTGTTAATACTGGTCATTATTTTTACCAATATTTGGTAAATCCTCTTGCGTTTCTGGAATTGGAAAAATCCAAGTCAAACCAGAATTTTCTACATTTTCATCCGAGATACAGACGGCTTCGTAAGGAATTTCGGCGTTTTTAATAACAGAAAGTAAATTTGGAGATGCGTTTCCTTTCGTAAACGTTAGGAATATGAGCATTAAAACCAAAAGCAACACTTTTACTCTTCTGAAAGAAAAAATTGGTGTCCGATAAAGAATTCGATTGCATTTTGTATTTACAAATAACAATAAGCGATTGAAAAAAAAGTGAAAGTATTCCTCGCGTGGAAATTGCAATGTGAGTCGAAGTTAGTCGATTTTAATTATTGTTTGAAGCAGCTATTTACGCAAAAGCTTTTAGGGATGTTTGATAAAAATTAGTAAACCCATTCTCAATACATTCTTTAGATTAGATTAGATTAGATTACAAGTGTCGACAAAGTTTCAAAAACTTGCAATAATAGTACAGCCCCATATTATATCATATCAAGTTTAGAAACTAAATTAAAATAATCATAACCATTTTATATGACTGTACATTATACATTTATTTTAATAATTGTACTTATACGTATTTGAAAATATAAAATACAAATATAGAAACAATAAAACAAAAAATCCGATGTACGCAACAAATTGAAAATATTTTTAAAAAAATTGAAGCCTAAGTACATAATAGAAATAATAATATACTTTCTAGGTTTTTCATCGTCGACGGTAGTTTTTGCTAATAGTTAAACATTAAACAAAGAATGAGCGCACACATGTACAAGTATATTAAAGTGTATCGGTTATAGTCGTGTATAATGTGTGTGATGACGACAAACTACGCTCAACAGTTCTAATTTCCGTTTCTACTTCAATAAGTATCTGCAAATGTGTATTTAGTATCATTTATATGCGTAAATGTAGTATATTTTGTATGTATGTGAGTTAGAGCTTGCGATAAAGCAGTTTTGAAAGGAAATACTGCTACGTTTTGCAAATAGGCAAAATACTAAGAAATACCTGCAGAAATGGTAATTTTCACTGTTCATACTTGAGTATCACTTACTTTCGACGAATGATTTGTTGAAACGACATGTTTATTTCTGCGTGCCATAAAGTAAAATTTCTATATGTAGTCGGTCCAAATTATTCATAATAATATTATTTTCGGATACTAGCCAATCGACACTCCGTAAACTGGTGAACTGTTTAAAGTTCGTACGAGAATAACATAGGAGAACAAGTCACTATTAACCTTGGAATTCCTTTTCTGTATTTGTTATTGTTTATTGCTATTTTGATTCTTTTTATGAGCGATCATCGCGGAATAATCGGAAAGTAAAGAAAAAGTTAATAAAGGAAGGACGAAAACTTTCACCGTCATGTGTAATACTTAAGAAATAGATCGATTAACACCAAAAGTTATTTCAGCGGCAAAATTATTTTAAACAAATCCTTTAAATATCTACCTTTCTACCTACTCGTCAATATATAAATGAATTATTTCCTTTTCGATTAATTAAATTAATCTGTTTAACACATTTGCTAGTTTGTAATTTATTTCCTTATTTTCAGTTTGCGCATTGAATAGTTATTATTTATAGTTATATTAATTTTGTTAATAAATTCAAAAATGTAAAAAAATCATGTCCCATCCCACTCTTTTGCAAATTTTTAAGACACACCGTATTTTTTTTTTGTAGAAGAATTAGCAATAATTAAATGTTAAACCAATCAACGAATTTTTTTGTATCAAACTGAAGAAGACCCTTTAAATTAATTGTTTTTATCTTTACATTGTACTTTTGTGTTCGAAAATATATATGTCAATTTTGCAAAAAATTCGTTTAATGTTCCTACATTTTAGGAACACCCTGTACATGTAATATAAATTATCCCATAATAAAGAGAGGGAGATACAAATATGATAAACAAAGATGGAGAAACGAACTTAACCTCACATAACCTGGCCTTTTTAATGCTATTAGTAGTTACAATTTTATAGTAAAATCAAAATCACAATTCTAAAAAAGAAGAGTTAAACAAAATAAATAGATTACACATTTTTTTTGGCTTGGTACTTAATTAGTTGTAACATTATTTAGAAGTTTTAGTTATGTTAGCATATCCTTCAAAGTTTGTGAATAATGATCTACAAAAGTATAAGAAGAAAGCCCAAGAAGCAGTATGTATTAATTAATCATTAAGAATTTATATTACATTTTTAATTTGCTCAAGGAACTAGAAATTAAGAATCTGAAGGGACAGTTGGATGTCTTAAAAACATCAATCCAGAAAGGCACAGCTGTGGAAACTGGAGATGAAGAGTTAACTACTTTAATAACTAAAAATGTAAAATTAAAGCATAGACTGGCAATCCTAAATAGAGTAAGTAAATTCTGTTAATAATAATTGTATTTAAGAATAAATAAGATAATTGTTTCGGCATGCGAAACCCTCACTTAGAGGATATAATAGAGATAGCATAGTAAGCACTTTTTGAAACAATATTTTATTTATTTCATCTATTACTAATATGTTTCTTAATTATCTGTCTGCTGAATTATTACAACTCATATTTAACAATCTACACAATATTTTTTTGTATACAGGCTATTGCAGAGCAGTCAGTTAAAGCTGCAAACACTCTAGATAACACCATGACAAGTATTTATGATAAACTTTCAACCATATTCTCAGCAGCAATATCTGCTGCATTCCCGGATATTCCAGATGCACCTGTTGTTATTGCATTATCTGGCAATAATCCAAAGTTTGGGGACTATCAATGCAATTCAGCAATGCCCATTGCAAATTTATTCAAACAGCAAGGTTTGTCCGTTTACTATCTTCTTAAGTAATTGTATGCTACATTTGAACATGATTTTAGGGAAAAAGATACCACCTCAGGAAATAGCCAAGCAGATTGTAGAGCAGGTCCCTCAGACTGATATTATTGATAAACTTGAAATAGCTGGTCCAGGTTTTATAAACATTTTCCTTAGCAAATCCTATGCAAGTCATATACTTCAAAATGTTTTAAAGTATGGAGTGCTACCTCCCCTTCTAAAAAAGAAGTTACGAGTAGTGGTTGATTTCTCTTCTCCTAATATAGCTAAAGAAATGCATGTGGGACATTTAAGGTAAAATAGCAAACATACAAAATATTTTAATAAATAATTAATACCTGTAATGCTTTAATTTTAGATCAACTATAATTGGAGATGCTATAGCAAGACTCTTGGAATATTTAGGATATGATGTGCTGAGAATCAATCATATTGGAGACTGGGGCACACAATTTGGAATGCTTATTGCTCATTTGAAGGACAAATATTCTGATTATTTAAACAGGATGCCGCCACTTGAAAATTTGCAAAATTTTTATAAAGAATCCAAAAAACGATTTGATGATGATCCAGAATTCAAGAAACGAGCATATGAATGTGTTGTCAAATTGCAGTCTAAGGAACCAGATTATATTAAAGCATGGGAAATGATTTGTGATTTGTCTAGAAAAGGTGACTATTGAAAACTTAAAAATATTAATGTGATAATGGTAATGTATAAAAAAAGAAACAACTTATCCCTACTAATTATTCTTAAGAATATATTTTTTACTAAACATTCTGAAATACATAGCAAAATTTATTTATTTCTTTATTAACCAGTATTACAACTGAAGAACTTAAAACAATGGTAATTCGTACAGAGGTATTGTAATATCTTTGTAGGTTTTTAGTATCTTACTAAATAAGAAATTATAAAACTAAGAACACTGTAACTTTTACACACTCATGTATTTATTTCTTTTAGAATTTCAGAAAATTTATGATCGTTTAGATATTAAGTTAACAGAAATGGGCGAATCGTTTTATCAGACACATATGGAAGATGTAGTTAAATTATTAGAAAACAAAGGTCTTCTAGAAAACGATAATGGTCGCAAAATAATGTGGGGCGACAAGGAAATTCCCATGACTATAGTTAAATCAGATGGGGGATTTACCTACGACACTTCTGATATGGCAACGATTAAGTATCGTATTGATGAATTGAATGGCGACTGGCTTATTTATCTCACCGACGCTGGTCAAGCAACACATTTTCAACTCCTTTTTAAATGTGCCGAAAATGCAGGATTTTTTGATAAAAAGAAAGTCAGACTTGATCATGTTACTTTTGGCGTAGTTTTAGGAGAAGATAGGAAAAAATTTAAAACGCGATCGGGGGACACTGTAAAATTAATAGACCTATTGGACGAAGGATTAAAAAGAGCTCTTGATAAGCTGAAGGAGAAAGAGAGAGATAAGGTTTTAACTCCAGAGGAATTAAAGCAAGCCCAAGAAGCAGTGGCTTACGGCTGTATAAAATACGCTGATTTATCCCACAACAGAAATCATGAATATGTCTTCTCATTTGATAAAATGTTAGAAGATAAGGGTAATACAGCGGTGTATTTGTTATACGCTTACACTCGTATTAGATCAATAGCGAGGAACGCTAATATTGATTCGGAAAAAATGAAGGAGCTCATTGAAAAGCACAATGTTTCTTTAGATCACGAAAAAGAATGGAAGTTAGGGAAGGTTCTACTTCGTTTTCCTGATGTACTTTTTAAAATTACTGAAGACTTATGTTTACATCATCTTTGCGAATACTTGTACGAAATATCGTGTGCTTTTACTGAATTTTATGACTCTTGTTATTGTATTGAAAAGGATAGCTCTGGAGACATTGTTAAAGTTAACGTGGGAAGAATTTTGCTTACTGAAGTAACAGCTCTTATTATGGCAAAATGCTTCGATATATTGGGTGTAAAACCTGTTTCAAAGATGTGAATAATAACAAGATGCTTTTCCCTATCATGATTATTTATTTTATACCACGCTACAGTTATTAAAAATGTAAATTTATTAAAGTGTGAAAGCATTTTGAATTTGTTTAACATCTTGAAAAATAAATCAATCACAAAGTAACGAGCCATGTGTTTAGCCGCCCCGTAGTAGTAGGCGTAGAATGTGGAGACCATTAACTTGATATTTTTGCTAATTTCTTAACTTGGGGGAAACACAGGAGCTACTTAGCATACCCCTAGGATGATATAGTAAAAATTGTCAAGTAGGAATTTTAGTTGATTATATTGAACCACTTTTGATTATTCCGTATTTTATATCAGATTTTATTGATATGGTTGTAGTAAGCACGCCAATTAGATATTCCCACCAAATATTTAAAATTTGAACAAGTTTAGGGTATTTAGTTTAAGGTAGTGGTATATTAAACGGAAACATGTCGAATGCCACAGAGAAGCCGAAACAACAAGTTTAGTTATTTTTCTTATCTATGGATATTTTTTGAGGTTATTAATTTAAATCGCGTTCTCTCTGCAAGGGTGAATTCTTATTAAATTATAAATAACAAGTTTATTCATACTTTTGAATACTGTATAATGACCTACAGAAGATATGCCGTTAGAACACCTACTAAGAGGTTTGTGTATTTATCATTGGTTACTTAGTAAATAAATAATATTTCTTCAAACAGGGAAACGAGTAGTATAAGTAAAAGAGCAGAGTTTTCCCCTGCTTTAAGCAAGATATTCCAAGAAAGCGAAAGACAGAGAAAAATACAGAAGTGTATTACATGGGGAACAATAAACACATGCATTCTTCTTCTAATTTTATTTGATTTGTAAGTTGCCATATAACCACTATATTATTCATTTTATTATTATTTTTTAATTTACATTTCTACTGTTTTTTGCAGAGCATTTACTTGCACATTACATGCTTCCTACATACAAACCATAGAATATTTCTTGAGTGGTATTTTAAGTCTCAACATTCTATATTATATCATTTGTTGCCCAGGAGTAGTCTTTAAATACGAAACCTTGGATGTTCCCCCAGTGGAATCACCAAAGAAACAATCACCTGAGCAACTAATTCCACGTATGTTACTTTTCTAAATATTAATTTAAGAAACTTCATTTTACTTTTTCAACAGCAAGTAATACTGTAACATCTTTCCATGCATCAAAAGATAGTTCTCCAAATTTTTCCATTTTAAGAAGAACACCAACGTCATCTTTCTCTAGCACACCCATTAATTTATCAGCTGCAAGTTGGAGATCAACACCAGGTAAACAGCTTTAAAAGAAAAACCAAATAAAACATATTGTTGAAGAATATATTTTAGGTTCAATGTATTCCCCTTTTCGACAAAATAAATCACAAGAAGAGAGGCTATCAGCAGATAATCTTCTTCTTCCTAATACCTCAGACATTGAAAATATAAGTGATTCTCAGTCACTTAATCAATATTTAAGCACTTATGAAGAATATGATAAATTAAGTAATATTAGCAAACCTGCCGAGCCCACAAATAGTTTACTTAATTCATTTTGGAATTATCCTGGTATGAAATCTGGGAATGATGTTTCACCTTTGTTTAAGAGGACTCAATATCAACTCTCTTTTATGCCAGGTAATTAATTGTAACTAGTACTAATATTAGTATAATAATAAGAATAATAATAATCATTTTGTAGTTACAATTATCTAATTTTTAGTTTCTTCAAGTAGTCCTGGTGCTAATTCTGATGACAGAGGATCACCTAAAGTATCATTGCAAAGCTTAGAGGTTTGGAAGCAAATAAATGTCGATCCACATATGTTAACTAGATGGACAGGTAATCTTAGATCGGTAAGATTACC